TTGAGACTGACCTGGAACTCACTGTGTAGCCCAGGCTGGTCTCGAATTCACAGAAATTCTCCTGCCTCAGCCTCCCGAGGGCTGGGATTACAGGCCTGTGCCACCATGCCTGCTTCCCTTTTTCAGTTTTTATTTTGAGATAAAGTCTTGCTAAGTCACTAAGTTGCCCAGGCTGGGCTCTAAATTGTGATCCTCCTGCGTCAGCCTCCCAGGGTGCTGCGATTACAGGTATGTACCTTCCCCTTCGCTTGCCCTGAGTCTGTAATGGAATTGTTCACCCGAAACGCCATTTCCCTGGCAAACGTCTACTGGTTTTTCAAGATTGACTCCAACAGTCATCTCTGTGACTATCCCAAGTAAAAGCAAGTACCTCATCCTGCAAGCACCTTCTGAACTGTAAAATCTTTAACATATCAAGTTTCTATTCCTTTTACGAAAAGCATTTTTGCTTTCGTTTGCCCCTTCAATGGGTGAGCCCCCTGAGGGAATCCTCTTCATGTGTCCCACGCCTGTGTGGTGCGTCCTGTACCAGTGCCTGGTAAGTGACAGGGCTGATGGGAGATCTTTGTGGCGCAGCACAGCCTGTGCTAGGCGCCAAGGGCAACAGGGTCCCGCTGCGGACTTAGCTAGAGCTGTCTGTCACCTATGGAAGACTTGTTTCCATTGGTTTTAGAGGAGCAGCTCTCAGCTCCAACTCTGAATCTCCCCGAAACTCACCCTGAAGCTTACAGGTGGAACCTCAAGGGGTGAGCGTGATTGTTTCCGGTGTAAAATTGCTGTGAATATATTTGTGTGCAGATCTCATGTGAACATCTATTACTTTCATTTCTCTTGAGTAAATGCCCAGGAGTAGAATGGATGGAACATACAGTAAGTATGTTTAACATTCAAGAAAGTGCAAAATTGTTTTACAAAGTGATTGCATAATTTTATGTTCCCACTGGTGGTTTTGCTCTTTTAAAAAGTCAGTTTGCTGCCACCTGTCTCAAAAGTGCAAAGACTCAAGTTCAATCCCTGGTACCAAAAAAAAAAAAAAAAAATTAAGTATAACTTACCACAGTAATTTTGCACAGGGGATGTAGCTCAGTGGTTCTGCCACCCGCCTCGCAAGCACAAGGACTCAGTTCGATCCCTGGTACCAAAAAAAAAAGTCAGTTTGGCCAGGCATGTAGCTCAGTGGCAACTTGCCTGCCTCACAAGTTCAAGGCCCTGAGTTTGATCCCCAGTACCAAAAAAAAGTAAGTTTGTTGGGCTTGGGATGGTGGTGCACACACCTGTAATCCCAGCATTTTGGGGGCTGAGGCAGAAGGATTAAAAGTTGGAGCCCAGCCTGGGAAATTTAGCCAGACCTTTTTTTGTGTGTTTTTTGTTTGTTTTTTGAGACAGGGTCTCACTATGTAGTTAAAACTGACCTGGAACTCACTATGTAGCCCAGGCTGGTCTCAAACTCACAGAGATCCTCCTGCCTCAGCCTCCCCAGTGCTGGGATTACAGGCATGTGCCACCACACCCAGCATAGACCTTGTTTTAAAATAAAAAGTAACAAAGGCCTGGAGATGTAGCTCAGTGTGAAGGCCCTGAGTTTAATTCCCAGCACTGAAAAAAGAAAAGTTTTTCTCCTCACTATTGAATGTTAAGGGTTCTTGAGGTATTCTAGCTATAAGTCCTTTATCATGTCTATAATTTGCAAATATTTTCTCTCAGTCTGTGCTTCTTTTCATTCTTCTAAAGTATTTTCAACAAGAACTTCATAATTGCAGTGAACTCTGTTTTTTTTTTTTTTTTTTTTTTGTTCTGGGGATAGAACTCAGAACCTTGTGCTTGTGAGGCAGGCGGTGGAACCACTCAGCTAAATCCCCAGCCCAGTTTTTCAATTTTGGGGGTGTTATGAGGTTCAAACCAAGGAGCCATCTAACACGGCACTACACCCTAGCCTCCCTCTTTGTGTACTGAAAATTAAACCCAGGGCCTGCATGTTGAGCTACATCTCAAGCCCTTTTTCATTTTTTTATTTTGAGACAGGGTCTTTCTAAGTTGCTCAGGCTGACTTTGAACTCACGATCCTTCCATCTTGGCCTCCTGAGTAGCTGAGATTACAGTCATGTACTCTGCACTCAGCCAGCTTTTACATTTTGCAGGTGGCACTGAAGGTCAAACCCAGGGCTTTCACACTGAGCTACCTCCAAATCCCCTTTTTATTTTTATTTATTTACGTGTTTATTTTTTGGTACTGGGGATCAATCTCAGGACCTTGCACTTGTGAGGCAGGTGGAGGAACCACCGAGCTAAATCCCTGGACCCCCTTTTATTTTATTTTATTTGTTTTTATTTTTTACTTGCTTTATTTTACTTTTTAATTTTGTATTAGTCTGCAGGACGTGACGGTTACATTCATCATGGGAAGCTGGACGTGTGCATACACAACGCATCTTAATTCTTCTGACCCTTTCCATTCCTCTTCTTTGCGCTTTCCCCCTTCTCTTCCAAGTCCTTTTTAGACTTTTTAAAAAAACTCTGAGACAAGGTCTCACTAAGCCATCCAGGCTGGTCTTGAACTTGTGATTCTCCTGCCTCATCCTCCCAAAGATCCAGGATCACAGGCATATGCCATTGTGCTCAGCTAATTTTTACTGTTACGGATTATACTTTTTTCTTTTTATTTAGGTACCAGGGATCGAACTCAGGTCCTTGCACTTGCAAGGCAGGTGGCAGAACCACTGAGCTAAATCCCCAGACCTCTTTTTTCTTTTTTAAAAGTCAGTTTGCTGCACTTGCAGTCAGTTTGTGCTTGTGAGGCAGGAGTGGCACTATGAAGCTAAATCCCCAGCCCCACATTATACTTTTGATGCTGTATCTACGAAATCTTTGCCTAACTCAAGGCCATAAAAATTATATATACTTGCATATACGAAATATTATATATAATATTTTATATATTATATATATAATCTCTGGACAAGCTGTCAGTGTCTGTCTACACATTGGTATGATTTCCCTCTACAGCCACAGAGCTCCCAGGGGCTGGAGCTCCTGACACTCAAGAAGGGCAAGGGGCTGGACGTGGTGGCCCACACCTGTAATCCCAGGACTCGGGAGGCTGAGGCAGGAGGATCGCTGTGAGTTCAAGACCAGCCTGGGCTACATAGTGAGTTCCAGGGCAGTCTCGACTACATAGTGAGACCCCGTCTCAAAAAACCAAAACCAAAACAAAAACAAAAAAAAAACAACAAGAAGGGCAAGGGATGAAAGGTGGAAGACGAACAAGAGTCACATTCCAGGTATGGAGACCTTTACTGCAGTCCCTTCCGCGCCACCCTTCCCCAGTGGCCTCCAAAGGTCATCGTCACTCTGCATCACAAGAAGTCCAGCCAGCTGCCCTCACACGTGCCTCCCATCTCTTTATTTCCTCTGAGGAGGGTGAGCGTATTTTATTTCTCTCCCCAGCACCCAGCACAGTGCCTGGCCCATAGTAAGCATCAGAGAAAGAACACTGTGGTTAGCGAATGGACAAATGAAATACTAGAAAAGGAGGTTCCGGACATGGCCAGTTGGTGGCATCACCTCTATAAATGACCACAAGGGGCTGCTGATGGCCTCAGACCAAGGGAGAAGCTTTAGGGCAGAAATTCATAAAGGTTGGGGGAGGAAAAGAAAAGGATTGGCGGACCGGATATTTTAGAGACAGCAGAACCTGGAATTCTGGCCCAGCTTCTTTTCCTGAACCCAAGGGAAGACCCGGCAAACGCATGGAAACTGTCTTAACTGCTAGACTGGCAGCTGATTCTGGGCAAGAGGCAGATGGCCTAGCAGAAAGCCACGCGGGAGCAGTCTGTGCGCTGGGTGCGGCCTGTGGTCTGATAGGGCCTGGGTGGGTGCTCCCTGTGCCAGCCCTTTCTCACCTCTCCCTGGCTCAGACAGCTGACGACCTCTGTCCTGTGGGTTTCGTAAGCCCAGCGCTGATGTCCGGAACATCAGATACCAAGCTGCTCAGCCGCAGAGGCCAGGTGCTGACTGCAGTGCTGGGGTCCCTGAGAAAGCCTTGCTCTTCTGTGCACCCTCTTTCCCTCCCGTGAGCGTGAGAGGACAGCTAGTGAGGCACTTGTCACATCCTGGGGAGAAAGGGTGCGGCTCGCAGGCCAGAGCTCTAAACCCAGGCTCACGCAGAGCGGGGCCACTACTGAGCCCAGCTCCTCCGACCAGGGTGGGAAAGATGAGGCGGGGTGGGCGGTGAGCAGCACAGTGGCTTCCCAAGCCAGAGCAGGCGGGAATGGAGGCCAGCCAGGGACCTGCACCAGCCCAGGCCGGAGTCCCCAGTGGGGAGGCAACAGGAAGCGGAGACTTCCTCTCCTCCTCCCCTCCCTCCCTGTTCTTAGCTCCAAGGTCACTTGCTGCCGAGATGAATTCCAACCTGTGTTTTAGTTGGCACAGCTCCCTGGGCATGACGGCAATGGCTGCTCAGTGTCTTGCTTCCTTCCACCATAAACACCCCAGAGTTCTTTGAAATAAGTCACTGCAAAGACATAGCGCTGTCTCGATGCGTTATGCACAGGTACCAACTCCCCACGATGAATGCAATCATTATGTACCGCATATGTGCACTGAGAAAAGTTTACTAGAAAGTGCTGTCTCGCGTGTAATATTTCATCACAGCAACCCCATGAAACAGACTTTTATCAGAATTTCTCACAGTTTAGTTTTGTTTCGGTGCGGGGGATCAAAGCCCAGGACCTGGCACACCTCTCTGTACTGCTGAGTTACACCCCCAGGCCCTGACAAAAACATTTGAGACTGGGTCTTGCTGTGCTGCCCAGGCTGTCCTTGAACTCCCAGACTCAAGGGACACCACTGCCCAGTCCTGGAGCAGCTGGAACTGTGGCTGGCGCCACCATAGCCCTAACTCCTGAAGCTGTGGGCCAAGAAATGGGTGCAGGAGAACTGAGACTCACCCGAGGCCCTCAGTCAGGAGCTACAGGGTAGGACTCTGAGCCTGTCAGGACCTCTCAGACCCTGGCCCTGCCCTGGGCCCAAGGGAGCACATTGGGCTCCCTGCTGAGTAGGGCGCTCTGGTGGGGCTGCAGTCGTCCTGGGTCAGGCAGCCCCAGGCTCTGGTCCTGGGTTGTAGGCTTAGGGCTGCCCTGCACAGTGGAATGATTAACTCCCCAACTTCCTTTCTCTGCACAGAGCCCTTCTTAAACACAGGCCCACACACACGCTCCTGTGCACCGCCTCAGCCCCTGCTCTCTGGGCCCTGCCCCACCCCCCCAGCTGATCTCGCCCAGTGGGAAGGGACAGGCGGGTCCCTCGTCCACACCCCTCCCTCCAGGTGTGGGCATGAGCCTGGGCTTTGCAGCCAGAGGCCCCAGCAAAGCACACAAAACACTCTGGCCCAGAGCCTCCTGCGGAGAGCCGGAGGTGGAACCTGCCCGTCTGGCAGGCACCTGCTGGCCGCTCCACCTGGAACCAACCTCTGCTGCCTGCGATGCCCACACCCAACATCTCGGTCCCGCTGCCCACGTTCTTTTGGGTCAACGCCTCTGGAGGAGGGGTGCTGGGTGCAGACGATGCCACACTGCCGGTCGAGTTCTTCGCCCTGAGGGTCATGGTGGCCCTGGCCTATGGGCTGGTGGGGGCCATCGGCTTACTGGGGAACTTGGCTGTGCTGTGGGTGCTGGGTAACTGCGGTGCCCGCCGATCCCCTGGCCCGCCTTCCGACACGTTTGTCTTCAGCCTGGCTCTGGCAGACCTGGGGCTGGCGCTCACCCTGCCCTTCTGGGCAGCCGAGTCGGCGCTGGACTTCCACTGGCCTTTCGGAAGCGCCCTCTGCAAGGCAGTCCTGACGGCCACCGTCCTCAACGTCTACGCCAGCATCTTCCTCATCACAGCGCTGAGCGTCGCCCGGTACTGGCTGGTGGCTGTGGCTGCAGGGCCTCGCACCCACGTCTCACTCTTCTGGGCCCGCGTGGCCACCTTGGCGGTGTGGGTGGCAGCGGCCCTGGTGACGGTGCCCACGGCCATCTTTGGGGCCGAGGCTGAGGTGTGGGGCGTGCGTCTCTGCCTGCTGCGGTTCCCCAGCAGGTACTGGCAGGGGGCCTACCAGCTGCAGAGGGTGGTCTTGTCCTTCGTGCTGCCCTTGGGCATAATCACCACCAGCTACTTGCTGCTAGTGACTTTCCTGCGGAGGCGGCAGCGCCGGCGGCGGGACAGCAGAGTGGTGGCCCGCTCGGTCCGTATCCTGGTGGCCTCCTTCTTCCTTTGCTGGTTCCCCAACCACGTGGTCACTCTCTGGGGTGTCCTGGTGAAGTTTGACCTGGTGCCCTGGAACAGAACCTTCTACACTGTTCACACCTACGTCTTCCCGGTCACCACCTGCCTGGCACACAGCAACAGCTGCCTCAACCCCGTGCTGTACTGTCTGCTGCGGCAGGAGCCCCGGCAGGCCCTGGTGGACACCTTCAGGGATCTGCGGTCCAGACTGTGGCCCCAGGGCCCGGGCTGGCTGCAGCAGGTGGCCCTAAAGGAGGTAGGCGGCCCGTGGACAGCGAGCATCCCCCGGGACAGTGGCGGTGCCAACATGCTTGCAGAAGTGCACAGGGGGGCACCCGGCTGAAGGGCGAGGCCCCACTCTCTCCTCTCTCCAGGACCTGCGCGACACAGGAGCCACACATCCTAGGGACAGCTGCCCTCCCGGCCAGGCCCTGGAGTCCCAAGGCAATTCTGGTCTCTGATCACCAACCCTGGGCGCAGGGGAATCAGGAGGGCGGGGCCCAGGTCGGGGCTGGGTGTGACAAAGCTTGTCTCTAGTTGGAGGTGGAAAAGAAGAGGAACCGAGAATAAACTTCTGGATTACCCACAAATTGTCTTGATTTTTTAATTGTTTTATTTATTTTTAAATTTTTGAGAGAGGATCTCACGAGGTTGTCCAGGCTGAGCTGGAACTTTCAACCCTCCTGCCTCAGCCTCCCTGGGATTACAGGTGTGTGCCACCATAGCCAGCTCATTTTCTTGACCTTTTATCCCAGTTCCAACTCCAGTTTAGCGTGGGACATTTTTTACCCTGTTTTTGCCTTCTGCAAGAATTTCCAAGCTATTTCCCTTACTGGGTCTCGGCTAACAGACCCGGGGTCCATGCCCATTTCTCCGTGTGCCTCCCACCCTGACTTCATGGCAGGTGCCCTTTCTCCTCTTCTAGTACCAAGACCCAAACTGCCCTCTCCCCTGGCCAGGTGCCTGATGCCAGCAGAGGGCTGTCTCAAAGGCTGTACCTGCCCTTTGGAAAGGTGCCCGGTGCGGTCTTGCCGGAACCCCTGACACCTGCCAGACCCTGGATATCACGCCTGGTGCTGATTAGAAGTACCCCCGTTTCCCTCGGGGAATTAATACGAGGAATTAAAAGGAGCCAATGACAAGATAATGCCGTCGAAGAGGTGGTGAGGTGAACAGAGGAGACAGGCAGGAAGGGTTTGGGAGGAGGCTGAAGTCGGGCCACTGGTGTGGGGGCCGATCCTCCGCCCTACTGGCCCCTGCGCCCGCGCCTGGACCTTGGGCAGATCCCGTACTTCTCCGTGTAGCAGTGTCTATTCTGTAAAATGGGCTGTCTGGCAGTCACAGTAAAATGGAGCAGGACGTAAGGGGGCAGCTGGCGAACCAGGGAAGTGGAGGAGCTGGGAAGTCCCCCTTTGGAAGGATTCCGCTCCCTCTGGAATAATGGAAGTCTTACAGAGTGAACTGCGGGGGTGTCCCTCCCTGCAGCACCTCCGGAAGGTGTATCAGCAGGGCAGAAGGCTGCCCTTTGATTCCCACAATCATCATAACCCATCCATGATGTCATTAGAAGGCACTTTCAGCCTGGCATGGTGGTGTACACCTGTAATTCCAGCAGTCTGGGAGGCTGAAGCATAATTACTCGTTTGAGCCACGCCTGGGCAATTTAGTGACATCGGTCTTAAAATAATTAAATGGGGGCATATAACTCGGTGTGGAGGTTCTGGGTTTAATCAGGGCAGGCCTAGTAGGGGGGTGGGGGAGAGGAGAGGGAGGGAAATGGGCGGAGCTCCCCCCCAGCTCTGGCCATCTCCTGACCCAGGATGACACTGCTCCCCCAAGGTCCCAGAGCTGCAGCGCCCCCTGTGGAAAGGAGGTCACAGTGCTCAGGCGCCCCTGCCGGTTCATCGGATTGCCAAGACGTTCTGAAGAGCCACCCAATTCACAACGCATTAGGCAATAGGAAAGAGAGTTAATTAGCTTCTTGGTGTTTAATTTCCTCCCTTTGATAATGTTTACACTGGTTCTAAAACTCCTGGTCTGTTCCCAGCCTATTCAGGAAGGCAGAAAGTCCTCCCCACCCCAGCAGCTCCTGGCAGGCCTGGTGGGGCTCCGGATATTGGCTCCTCTGGGGGCATCTCTGCTTTATAGGACCCGGAGGTAAATATTGACAAAAAGTACACAGGTCCAAGTTGAAGATGCGTGAGTGGCGTGGACCTGCCTCCAGAGGGGGAGGGAGCGAGGAAGCAAGGGCGCAGGGCCGGGAACGCAGGCCAGACCCCGGGAGCCTGGACCCTAGGAGCAGAAAGAGGTTCTGGTGGGAGGCTGGGCCCTAGCTCCCTTGGGCACAAAGCCATGGAGCGTCGAGCCTGCAGCAGCAAGGACAGAGGTTGACCGAGTTCTCGAAAGCAGGATTAGGGCGGGAACAGGGACAGAGCAGCCAAAGATGGAAGGGGGACCTGGCTGTCGGGGGCGGCAGACAGGAGGGGCTCCGAGGAAGGGGCGAGGGAGTGTTGCTCCCCATCATCATCCCGGACCTGCAAGGGGCTGAGGGGGAACCCACACTCCCATCTCCTGGTGGCCTTTGGGGTGAGCATCCCCCCATTCCTACCAGTCCTCCACCTTACAGGTGTGGTTATCAGCTGGCCAACGTGGAGGGCAGCCGCTGAGCCCTGTGCGGCATTTGAAATGAGCAGCAGCTCTGGAGCTTTCCGGCAGAGTACAATAGGGCCCAATGGAGGCCCGGCCCCCCCACCTTGCCTACCCTAGCCCGGCACGCGGGATTCCCACGAAGGCTGAGAAAACACCTTGTAAGGGCTGTGTGCCCAGGCCTGGAAGGGTGCTGGCTGCTGACTGTGCAAGTTCAGTTCCTCTTTTTAGCTGGGGTCCTGAGTCCACTTCCTTCTCACTGTACCCTAGAGGGCTCCAGCAGGCGCACAGCTGGAGCCGCTCCCCACCTCCGTCCTCACAAGACCGCGTACAGGGGGTATCAAGCATGAGAAGCGAAAGAACCCAAAACAAGAACTGCCATCAGCTCTTTCTTGCAGAGGCAAAGAGCAAAGGGGTCAGCCCAGGGCTCTGCCGCTTGGAGACTCCAGGCCAGGTGGGGGCTGGCTCTGAAAAGTGACCCCAGGGAGATGGTAATGGTGCACCGCAGGGGCCACCAGGCCAATGAGACTTCTGAGCAGTGTACAAACAGGATGAAAAGTTTTCTGGACCGGAGTTCCAACAGCCACTGGAGCCGAGGGCTGCTTCGTTTTGTGCCTGTATTTGTGAATTTGCAATAAAAGATTCGCAGCGGTTTCCTTTCCTCTTGTCCACTCTCTCCACTGAGGAAGACAGGGCTACGGGTGAGGAACTCAGCTCACTGCCCGCTCTCTCACTATGGCCCGGGGGAACTGCAGACATTACGAGACAGTACCTCATAGGGTTTCAGGTCTTTAATGTTCCCTGCTCAGTGGTGTTCTTTTTGTTTTGTTTTTTTTAGAACAGTCAAATTGGCAGAAAAATTGGCTGGAGCTGGTGGGTGCTGCCCATTGAAAAATCCCCCAAATTCATGATGAGGTTTCAAGTCACGGCCGCTGAGGTGGGCGGTGAGGCCAGGGTTTGTGGAGATTTCCCAACCCACCCTAGAACTTTCTCCAAATGGCTAACAAAGAGGTCGGAATAGGAGCCCTGTGACCGCAGACGGTGGGAGAAGTGTCCCCCACCTCTGACGTTGAGAGATGTGGAGATAGAAGGGTGTGATCTCTAATTGCCTATGTCGTCTCTTAAAAATATAAAACACGTGCAGTTGGCTTTGGTACAAAAAAAGAAAACAACAAAACATTCTGGTCCCTGTGGGTTTTTTCCCTCAACCTCAATAAACCATTACGGCTGCCCTGATCACCACACCATCCAGGGGGCACCCCAGGGGGCAAGTCATCTCCCTGGGCTTCCTGGAGGATGCAGAGGGGGACAGCAGGAAGAGGGGAAGGCGTGGGAGAGGGACATGGCTGCTCATAGCCCTCCTCACAGGGCCAGGAGTTCCTGTGGTGCAGCCTTCTGTCAGAGGTGGGCCCTGCTGGGGACGGTCAGGACGGGCCCAGCGGCTGCCGCGGAAGCCTGAATGGACCGCAGTAGTGTAAAAGGACAAGGGCCCCGATCCCTATGGCTTGGTTCCCATGTCCCTGGTCCTTTAAATCTCCCCTCTCCCACTAGAACTAACAAACAATAAATAAATAAATTTTCCTAAAGTAGAGGGAAGAAGGCGTGACAAACTGGCATCTGTGGTGTAGGTTTTGGATGCCACCAGGGGGACTGTGACCTAAATCCCCCCGTTTCCTAAATGGCCCCCGGTGTCCAAGGATCCCAAGAGCTAGCAAGGACAGTCAGCAGTTCTTTCAAATGCTCCCGCGTCACTGGCAGGCTGCAGTCCCCGACACCGGCCCCAGCAGTGACGATCTTCATGGGGCGCAGCAGGGGCGAGGGCCCCCTTAGCTCTCAGAAGCCAGCAGCTCCCCATCACGGCTCTCTGTCTCCTCGGGGATGTCCTGCATTCGGGTGAAGTCTGAGGGGCACAGGGGAAGCCAGCTCATTAGCCTCTCCCTTGGGCACCTGCACCCTACACTGACACCCTACGCCTGCCAGCCTGTAGGCTGGGGACCGTGGGGCTGAAGGGATCCTTGGGAGGCAGGAGACCTGGGTCTACAGAGTCGGCAGTGCCCCCAGAGAGTCCGTGGTACACTCCGGAACTATACAGAGACACACGTGGCTCAAACAAATACCAAACAGTTTAAGACGCTAACATGGAATCACTGTAGCTTTTTGGTTATTTAGCTTTTTCCAAACCAAAGGTCTTACTTTTTTTTTTTATAATTTATTTCAGCTGGAAAAGTTTAGGGGCTGGGGGCCTAGCTCTGTGGTACAGCACTTGCTTACAATAAATGAGGCCCTGGGTTTGATCCCCAGCACTGCAGATTAAAAAAAAAAAAAAAATGGCAGGGGCCACAGCCTCAGCACTTGCTTACAATAAATGAGGCCCTGGGTTTGATCCCCAGCACTGCAGATTAAAAAAAAAAAAAAAATGGCATGGTGGCCACAGGCCTATAATTCCTGCACAAGGGAGGCTGAGGCAGGAGAACAGCCATGAGGTCAAGACCATCCTGAACTACACAGTGAAACCATGTCTCAAAAACAAAAACCATGGCTGGATATCACCAGCTACTTGGAGAAGGAGAAGCCCCTATAACACGACTTCCTAGAGTTCCAGTGTGCACTCAGCCTCAGAGAACAGGGAGTCACTTCTGTCTCTCCCAAGAGGCCCCTGTGGCAGCTCCCACCCAGGCTGCTGCCCACCACTGTCCCGTGCTCAGCACCGCCAGGGCCTCACCTCGTGGACTGTGGGGTGGAGACAGGCGGCTGCTCCCCTCCTCCTCACTGCCCGTGTCAGGGTCACTGCTGTCCTGCAGCCGCTCCTCGGGGCTGCCCAGCTCCTGCCGCTCCCGGTCCTCACAGGGTCGGTGTGCAGAGCGAGTGGTCACGGGCAGATCCAGACGGTCATGGCCTCGGCTGGGCTGCACAGGGCATTAAAGCAGCGGCCAGA